AGAGAGAGATGGGGACACAGAGAGATGGAGAGAGATGGGGGGACACAGAGACGGAGAGAGATAGGGGGACACAGAGATGGAGAGAGATGGGGGACACAGAGAGATGGAGAGAGATGGGGACACAGAGAGATGGAGAGAGATGGGGGGACACAGAAAGACAGAGTTGGGGAGACAGATGGAGAGAGATGGGGGAACACAGAGAGATGGGGGACACAGAGAGACAGAGACACGCAGGGAGAGGCAGAGATAGAGACAAAAACACAGAAAGACAGAAACAGGGAGAGAAAGACAAAATGCAGAGAGAGGGGAGGGAGACACTGAGAAAAAGGAGAGAAAGAAGGGCAGCCCCTGTGGCTCAGAGGAGCAGGGCACCGGCCCCAAATGCTGGAGGTGGCGGGTTCAAACCCAGCCCCAGCCAAAAACTGCAAAAAATTAAAAAAAGGAGAGAAAGAAGGGAGAAGGGGAGAGATTCAGGGAGAAAGACAGATGCAGACACAGAGAGAGACAGATGTAGGAGAGAGTGAGGGAGAGACGAGACAGGCCGAGATGGAGAGGCAGAGACCGAGAGGGGACGGGAGACAGAGAGGGAGGAAAACTCAGAGAGTGACAGAGGGACAGGACGCAGAGAGGGACACCAGCCTCCACCCTGAACCCCACTCACCACCCTTGCACCACTGTGGTCCGCACACGGAGGCTCCAGGGCAAGCCGGAGCAGCCACCTCCTTCCTCCCATCCTTCTCTCTGAGCTCTGTGCACCACAGGCCCTTTGCACGTGCCATGATCCACACAGCATCCAGTTACAAGCCCTCCTCAAGGCCACCCAGGTCACTCTGCAACCCCAAAAGCACACACACAGACTTGTCTCAGATCTCCAGGCAAGGAAGCCCCCAGGCTGCCCGGGGCCTTGGAAATCTGAGGCTCTGTGCCCTGTGCCCTCAGGTTCCATGGGAGGACTTCACGCCACACCCACGGAAAAGTATCGAGGATGAGGAGGTCTTGGCCGTGGAAGAAGTCACCACACCCTCGAAGGGCGTGTGAAGTGGACGGACAGGAGTCTCCCCTCCCGAGATTCTGGGAGCTGGTTTTTTGTTGATATTAATGCTGTGAGCCTTCGTAGAATTTTCTATATTTTTTTATTCACTTGTTAAACACACGCGGCAAACCAGCTCGCATTCTGGGGAAAGGGCGCTCCCTCCCAGTCAACTGTGAGTGTCCCCATAAACCATGACCTTTGTTGGAGTATTTCCTGTGTGCGTCCTCTCTGCAGGCAGCTAGGGGGATGGGGCCGAGCGCTGACACCTCTGTGTCTGCTCATATTTTTCTTTCATTTCCTCAACCAACTGCAGTCGAGCTGTGCCTCAGCTTCCTGCCACCCTGTACCAGGTGACCACAGCCAAGTGGCTCGAAACAGCACGTGTTTCTAATCATAGCAAGCCAGAGCTTACATGTCCCACCTGGGTCTCCCCGGGCTGCACTCCAGGGCTCCACAGGCTGCTTCCTACGAGAGGTCCCAGAGAACAATGCATTTCATACTTTTTCCAGCTCCTAGAACACGGTGTGTCCTGTGGGTGGAGGCCTCTGCTCGCTCTGACCTCTGCTGTCGTCCGCACATCTCCACATACTGATCTGAACCTCTCCCACAGGCAGACACTTAGACCCCACAGGAGGTCCGTGGATAGCCCAAGATCAGCTCCCCAACTAGTGTCGCTGCATGAATCACATTTTTAAAGTATTCACTGCTGTGCCTGGTAACAGACTCACAGGATGCAGGGTCAAGATGAGGACATCTCTGGGAATCTTATTCTGTCCTCCACATGGGATTAGGATGAGGACATCTCTGGGAATCTTACTCTGTCCTCCACATGGGATTAGGATGTGGACATCTCTGGGGACATTATTCTAATACGTGGGATTAGGATGTGGACATCGATGGGGGCATTATTCTGTCTCCAACATGGGATTAGGATGTAGATATCTTTGGGGACATTATTCTAATACATGGGATTAGGATGTGGACATTTTGGGGGACATTATTCTGTCTCCCACATGGGATTAGGACGTGGACATCTTTGGGAACATTATTCTGTCTACCACATGGTATTAGGACGTGGACATCTTTGGGAACATTATTCTGTCTCCCACATGGGATTAGGACGTGGACATCTTTGGGGACATTGTTCTGTCTCCCACATGGATTAGGATGTGGACATCTATTGATCACCTATCCATCTATTTCTATGTATCTATCCATCCACCGATCATCTAATCTCCATCTATCTGTCAATCATCTCTCTCTCTCTACATATATATAGCAGTCATCTGTTATCTGTTTATATATCAATCATCTATCCCATATTGATATCCATCTCTATCATTTATATATCTTTCCTTTTTTTAGAGTCTCACTTTGTCACCCTTGGTAGAGTGCTGTGGCCTCACAGCTCACAGCAACCTCCAGCTCTTGGGCTTAGGTGATTCTCTTGCCTCAGTGTCCCGAGTAGCTAGGACTACAGGTGCCCACCACAATGCCTGGCTATTTTTTTTTATTGTTGTTGTAGTTTGGCTGGGGTCAAGTTTGAACTCGCTACCCTTGGTATACGGGGCCAGCGCCCTACTCACTGAGCCACACGCACCGCCCTTTCTATCTTTCATTTATTTCTCCACCTATACTCCTAGATTTTGATAGGTAGATGTCTACATATAGACAGATAAGTAAATAGATAGATACAAATAACCAACATAACAAATGTCAGTAGATGCTCTTTCTAGGAAATGGTAAGAAGCCAATTCATATCTAATCAATACAAAAAATTCCCAAAGATGGCTGGGGATAGTGGCTCACACTTGTAATCCCGGCACTCTGGGAGGCTGAGGCAGCTGGACTGCCTAAGCTCAGGAGTTTGAGACCAGCCTGAGCAAGAGAACAAAACCCAATGTCTAAAATTAGCCAAGTATTGTGGTGAGTGCCTATTGTCCCAGCTACCTGGAAGGCTGAGGAAGGAGGATCAGTTGAGCCCAAGAGTGTGAGGTTGCTGTGAGCTATGATGACTCCACAGTACCAGGGTGACAGAGTGAGACTGTCTCAAAAAAGAAAAGAAAAGAAAAGAAATTCCAAAAATTGCCAGATACAGGTTGAATTATGTTTTCCCACCCAAAAGAAGGGACAGATTCCATTTCTAACCTCTGGTATGTGTGAATGTGATGTTATTTATTTATTTTTTCTTTGCAGTTTTGGGCCGGGGCTGGGTCTGAACCTGCCATCTCTGGTATATGGGGCCGGTGCTCCATTCCTTTGAGCCACAGGCGCCGCCCTGTGACATTATTTTTAAATATGGCCTTTGCAGATGTGATCATATCAAAGTGAGTCTGTCAGTGTGGTAAAGGCTCTCAGTACAACTAGTGCCCTTAGGAGAAATTTCACGCAAGACAGTGGTTCAATGCCTTAATCTCAGCACTCTGGGAGACCAAGGTAGGAGGATCCCTTGAGCTCAGGAGTTTGAGATCAGTCTGAACAACAACGAGACCCATCTCTAGTAAAAATAGAAAAACTAGCTGGGCGTGATGGTGGGTACCTGTAATCCCAGCCACTTAGGAGGCTGAGGCAGGAGGATTGCTTGAGCCTAGGAGTTTGAGGTTGCTGTGATGCCATGGCACTCTACTCAGGATGACAGAGTGAGACTTTGACTTGGAAAAAAAAAAAAAAGGAAGAAACTTGGTCTGGGAAACATGCACATATCAGAAAGACACCATGCTACGATGGCCAGAGGATGATAAAGGCAGAGATCGGCATGATATGGTGGAAGGCAGGCAATGAGGACTGGACGTCACCAGGAGCTACAAGAGGCAGAAACAATCCCCACCCCACCCTCCGAGCTTCCTGAGAGAATGAGACCCTGCCCACCCCTCAGTTTCAGACATCTGGCCTCCATCACTGTGAGGAGGACAAACTTCTCATGTAACCCCCCCCCCGGCGGGCTGGAAACTCAAGCAAGAGCTGACGCAGCTGCAGCCGTGAGTCAGAGACGTCTTTTTTCTCCGAGAAACCTCCCTTTCTTCCCTTCACCTCGTCAACTGATTGGGTGAGGCCCACCCACCTTTGGGGGGTCGGGGAGATAATCTTTACTGAGAGCCAGCCGGCCGTGGGCTTCAATCCCATCTACAAAACTGATCAACAAGAGATTGGAGGCATCACTGGAGTGTCTAGCCTGATCACCACAGAAATACGTGGAATAGGGACGTATTTCAACTTGTCCTACAACAGGGGCTTCTGGCAACCTGCCATCCACTGCCTCATCCTTGTTCTGGGTAATGCTTCCTAGGAAAATGGGCACAATCCCCCAAGGGACCAATCCTCCACCTTTGCGCCCTCCTCTCTGATCAGGCAGGTCCCAGGACAGGGTCTCATTTCTTCTACTTGCTCCTAAAATAATTTAAGGGAGCAGGTCATCTATTCTGGACCTGATGTGATCTCCCAAAAGCTTCTCTGACTTTGCAGGTGGGTTGTATCCTCCATCCCACTTAAGAGGAAACAAAAAATGTCCTGATACGTAAGCAGTGGCCAATTCCCATGGTGTAAATACTCCCGTCACAGCCAACTTCAACCTCCAATGGCTTAATTAATTAACCACAGCTCCCCAACTGCCTGGACGTCTAAAGATTGGCCCCCGGGCTTGGGAGCTCCAGCTACAGACATTCCCAACAATGACTTTTCTGCCTGTACCACAAACTCAAAGCCCTATTATCATGAATTTGTGAATTTCTTTCTTTCTTTTTTTTTTTTTTAGCCAGGGTTGGGTTTGAACCTGCCACCTCTGGCATATGGGGCCAGCGCCCTACTCCTTTGAGCCACAGGCACCACCTGATTTGTGAATTTCTCAAGAGTTTTACCGGATAATGACAAGAGAACTCTGAGTTTCTATGGGTGTGTGAGAATAGGACAGAGAGCTGTGTCAAGCAGGACCTCCGGTGGCAGTGTTGACCCTTCTGTAATTCCAGGGTTAATTGAACTCCAGGGTCCTTCTGCCTCACTCTGGCTTCTTTCTGGCTCCTGCAGGGGAAAAGTCAGCCCCATCTAAAAAATCAGGGGAAACCGACATGTTTCTGCCTTTTCTGGGATCGGTCGGGGTGATCACCTTTGGTGCCTGAAATCCCTGCATTGTGGGTCATTTCCTAAGACCAAGAACTGTCTTTAGAGGACTGAGGTGCTGACATGCCTTCCCAGACGCCCAGATCTCTACCCACCAGAAGTCTAGAGTGTAAGACAGGGTCTCTGTGTGACAAAGATCACACCTGGTGGTGTGAGGGGTTCGTGCAACGGTGACCAGGAGAAGAAACTCAGACCACACCTCTGGTGTGCTCCTCTCTGCTTTAAAATTGTGCTCTGGGGGCAGCACCTGTGACTCAGTGGGTAGGGTGCAGGCCCCATATACCAAGGGTGGTAGGTTCAAACCCGGCCCTGGCCAAATTGCAAAACAAAAAAATAGCTAGGCATTGTGGTAGGCGCCTGTTGTCCCAGGTACTCAGGAGGCTGAGGCAAGAGAATCGCCTGAGCCCAGGAGTTGGAAGTTGCTGTGAGCTATGTGATGCCACGGCACTCTACTATGGGCGATAAAGTGAGACTCTGTCTCTAAAAAAAAAAAGCAAAAAACAAAAAACTGTGCCCTGGAGTGGACAGATGGGGGAAGAAAATTCTACTAACAATAGCAACAAAAATAGAACACTTTTAGTAATGGCTGTTCAGCAGGAAACAGTGAGAACTGGGTGATCCCAATAAGATTGTGAAATAAGAATGTGTAATTTTTAGTGTCCCTATTTTCTATTCCTTTTTTTATTCTCCATTCCACCTCCCATACCCCCGCCCCGTCAGACATTTCACCTCTTTTAAATGGAGATGTTCTGCATTTATGAGCAGGGCCTGTATCAGTCATTATCACTTTAGTATAAATTTGCAGCAATCCTCCCAGAGTGGTGGAGATGCATG